GGGGGGGGAGACAGGAGTAGGGTAAAGGCACAATGTAGGGAGTTAGGAACCTGTTCTTGTTCCCAACGGAGCGCCATGAGTCTCTTGATATCACTCGATGTCATAATATGAACGATTATGTACTCAGGTTGTCAAAAGAACTTGTGGAATTATAAAAAAAATGTATCGCAAATTTAGGTGGCGTTGGTAAATATCATATGATTCCTTAGAAAAAAGCCAATTTCATATGATTGGTAGGCGCGGGTTTTTTCCCCACAAAAAATATATTTCATTGAGTAGACTAAAAGCTTTCTTGTGTAAAGAATTGAGAAAATAATTTTCCACATCCTAACAATGAAGTGCTCTTCAATACTCTCTCGTAAAGACATGAAAAATGTCTACTTCTTAAAATCACAATCACTTGAAAATATGTATGAGCCACAGAATCCCAAAATCTGAACTATTATTTCCAAAGTCGAAAATCTTAATGATGCTCCTATAAGTGAGGGAGTAATTTCCTATAACATGGGTGTTTCCACATATAGTCCTCTTACTATATCATGATAGGTTCTTTGAGGACATGTAGGTTGTTCTATTTCACTATCAATATGGTTCAAGGAATTTGGAAGGAAAAGAAAAGAAAATAGTTTCCTCTGATTTTCCCCGCTAAAATGGGAGGAATTTGGTTTTCCTTCCACTTGGTACATTTCGCTTTTTCATTTTCTTTTCCTTCCACTTTTCCTTAAGAAAAACTGTTTTCCACTTCATTTTTTTTTCTTTTCCCTTTCAAATTCCTTGAACCAAACATAGTGTATAAGTCCTCAAAGGGGACTTGTGGAATTATTTTCAAAAATATAGAGACCACGAATATAATACTTTCACAAAAGGGCGTTGTTAAATCCATACCCAAAATGACAATATCCACACTTTTCTCTTAAATTTGCTAAATCCACACTCATTAAAAGTAATTTTATATTGGTGTAGAACTAGCAAATTTTAGGTGAAAATTGTGGATATAATCATTTTGGGTGTAAATATAGCCATTTTGAGTGTTTTTCGAAATTAATCAAAGTGAGGTATCAACAATAACACTCAATATTAATAATATTCATGATAACAATAATAATAGTAATAATAATAATATAATTATTACTATAGACGAGAAAATAAAAAAAGACGAATATGATAAAGTTATAAACACACACAGATACGAACAAATAAAGCTATTACCTCAATGGTTCGAGCAAGGTTGGGATCAAAGGAGCGGGAGGAGGTGGAAGAAGAATCCATTACGGCGGCGGCGGAGGCGGCGGCAGATAGGTTGGGGCGAAGGGGTTTTAGCAGACAGACAGGTCAGTTCTATAGATATAGAGAGAAATAGATTACGGAGTAGCCCACAGCAAAAAGACTTAACGGAGGCCGAGCAAACGGGCTTGAGGACAATGCCTAACCCAAATGTCAAGCCCATCTTTCGCTTCCCAATTCACAACTTTTTGTGTTTAACATTACTAGATTTTAACCGTGCGATGTACCACAAAATCTTTTATGTAACGATAAACGTAATGAAATATATAAATAACCTATAATTAGGGATAAGATAATAAATAACTAAATTAAAAAATAATATAAATAGTTGGTCTAGGGTATAAAGTATATTTGAACAATCAATTTAAATATAATTATAAATTCTTAAAAAAATTTAAATACAACATTCCAAGTATGACCTAGAGAATTGTTTTCTTATTCGAAAGTTAATATCTTCAATCCTTTTTCAATTTTCACATTTGAAATAACAACATAAAGTTAATCATGACTAAAGATGATTTTTTAAGCAATAGACCAACATGCGTCCAAGATTTTTCTTGACTTTTGTTAATATTCATTCATTCATTGCATATGAAGCCATGAAAAATCCTAACAAAAGTAAAATAAGGAATTATGTAGACTAAGAAAAGTAAATAATAATTTATTACTTAATTATTGCAATTTTTTTGACAAATGCAAAAGTGTTCAATGTTTTCAAAGTTTAATCACTTTCTTTGACTAATATGGTTAATTATTTGATAAAATAATATAGTTATATCATCTTTTGATTTGTAGAATTTTTTATGTAGTTCAAAATACATACAATAGTTTTTATTTTTTAATTCTATATTAATTTTCAAATTAATTAAATTCAAATATTTTCAGTCAAACGTCATAAACCAAAATGGATAACTTAAATGGAGACAACTATGATTACAACTATATCCAATTTGATTTCACGGAGTAGACCTTATGATTGGATCCGGCCCAAAACAAGGTAGCACACTCCCCATCTCTATGTCTTCCTTACTCATTTTCTCCTTTACTCTTTAGACTTTAGTCTTCATTGTATATTTTGTAGGTCTTAAAAGGTGTTTGAGCTTTTCCTCTTTTCTTTCTATTTTTCTACTTGATAGTGTGCTCATAAATATTTTAACCAATTTTTTTACTTCGTATAGACTTTCTCAAATAACAGTATCACTCTATAATTTTCACAATCACATTTTCCATTTGTCTAAGTTTATATATATAACATTATCATAGTATATGATATTTTTAGCAAAAAAGGATCAAAATAGCAAATCTAATGACTCTTAGGGTATGTTTGGTTAGAGGTAGGTAAAAGTTTTATTAGGTAGGTAATGGAAGGTAATTGAAGGTAGGTAATTGAAGGTATGTAATTGAAGGTAACAAGTTAAAAAACTGTGTTTGGATGTTTATTAGGTAATGTGAGGTAGGTAGAATAACAAATTTACTTATATGCCCTTGTTTTTTACTTAAAAAACAAAAAAATCACAAAAAATAAAACAAAAAAAGGGAAAACAGCAAAAACCCAAAAAACTCAAAATCAAAACCGAAAAAAAAACCATAAACCAGGGAAAAAAGTCACAACATGATATTTCAATGAATAAAAACAGGAAAAAAGAGAAAAAACAACAAAAAATGTGAAAAAAGTTGAAAGGGATTGAATCAGTGGGGAGAAAGCAAAATCGAAAAAAATACGGAGTACAAAAATTGCATCAATTGCAAACATTCTACTTCAACAAAAATTGAAATAAATACAAAATTTTTTTAACATCAATTTCAAACATTTATTTAAACAAAGAACAAAAAATACAGAAAAATTTTTTTGCATCAATTTCAAACTTTCTAATTCAACAAACAAAAATACAGAAAAAAATTCTTTTACATCAATTTCAAAGATCTAATTTTAACAAATAGCAAATAAAACAGAAAAATGGCAAAAAAATAAATGACAAAAAGAAAACTGGAATATAGAAAAAACCAGAAAAAAAAGAGAAAAAATGCATTCTTTAAATGGCAAAAAAAAGTATAAAAACCGTACCAGATATGAAGATAGGCCATGGCTGATGATGATTTTAGATCCAAAGAAGAAGAAGAAAAGAAGAAGATGAAAAAGAAAAGAAAAAGAAGAAAAAGAACCGTGGATGGGAGGAGAGCTGCACTGGAGTAGAAGAAAAAACGGAAAAGTAAAGAGAAGGGCAGGGAAAGGAAGGCGTAAATATTGGATAATACTATGGGGACACCGGATATGTACACCGGATGTCCCCCAT